TCTTCTTCTTGATTACAATTATAAATGTACCAAAAGCAGGACATGCTCAAAAACTGACCAAGCATGGGAGGCCACTGAGAAACCAATGACAAATCTGAAGGAGCTGCAAGCATCTCAGGTGTTTCTCCAGTCACAGGTTTATAGGATGGCAGCAAAGAAAAGCTGCTGTCTAAGATGCCATCTGACATCTCAGATATGGTTTGCCAGAAGATCTGTTGGAGACTGAAGCAGATGCAAGAAGGTTTTACGGTGTGATGAAACCAACATTTAGTTTTTTTGCCATCAGATCGCATGCATGCAAACCTACTTTTTTGATCGCAAAGTACACATTTTTGTTATCTCACCATAAACCGCATCTTCAGATGTTTCGGCAGCGCACCTGGAGAAACACAAACAACAAATCTGCCATTTGGACACAAGCCCAGAACACATAATGTGTCCAATTATGATTTCTCAGGCTCAGACAGAACGTACTGATGTTCTAAAGAAAGATTTTCTTATTTGATTAGACTAGATCAGTAATCATCTATGCCGCTGTCAACAGTTACCACATTTTGCAGTGGTCTCTTCCACTTTCTGTACGCTTTTGCATGTATAGCATTCAATTTTAACATCTCAGCAATTGTTAAATCATAAAACCACCACAATTAGACAATTACCAGTACCTTTTACATTAAAGTTTGCGAACATTTCCTTCAATATGCATAATTCAAAATTGTAACGGTGAAAAATCATTACAGAAAATTCTTTCATTTGAACACTGTACATTGGGCCCGACATTTATAGAAATATTACTATTACTATATTATTATTAGAAATATTACAAATCCATTAAAATCAGGTTAGAATTGGAATTGAGGGAATTTGTAATGCAGGTGTTTGAGTTTAATACACAGTGCCATAGTGCAACTCTCATTTAGCAATAAAAGATGGAGAAACTTTGTCTGATAATGACCTTTTTAATGGAAAATTCCTATATAAATGAAATCCAGACGGGACTTATAAAAGTAATGTCATTTGCACACTTTCTGTAGAGCTTTCCAGACAAATACAGAGTTCTGGCATGAAACTCTAGATGGTGCAGTCCGATAGGTCTAGCTTAATCTGACCTGGCGACATCATTGTCACACGGCAGCTGATTGGTTCTCTCCTGTATCGGTAGCCAATGAGCTTACAGCAGCAGTATTTCTTACATGCTCACAGCAGCATGTTGTGGATGTATTGGCAGTAGCAAGTCTCGGTACTTGCTCTGCTGCAGCAGCAGCAGCGTAGCAGATCTATTCCGCCAAGACCAAATACATTAACATTGTCATGTACATTACCATGCCAATCCCTCCGAGAGTTGCCATGACAGAATTAAATTCAGCCATGAGTGTACAATGAATAGAAATGCAATAAAACATATTTGTTTGCTAAAACATATTTGTTGCTATGAATTTGATATTTTTTGAAGCTCAAATGATTTGTATGTCTCTAAAGATTTAGATGCTGTTGATATTGTATGTGTATGCAAGTGTCTATACAAATATGCATGTGTGCTAGAAACTGTGCACACAAAGCTGAAAATACACAAAATCATTTTCACCTCTCCAGAAACATTCTGGACTGTTAAAGGACAGAGATCAATCGTTGTATACCATCTACACAACTTTTATTGAGCAAAGTAAGAAAATAGACAAAGCGATAGCATGATCCCAGTAAAGTTATGAATAGAAAATCAGTCTGGAAAAGAATAAGATATACAGAGAGAGAATAAACCACTGGAAAGAAGCTAAAACAAACAAACAAAAATAAACGGCATGACGACAGTGCATCTAATCAAAACCACATCCGTCTTCAGAATAACAACAAGCCGAAACACCACACTATTTAGGAATGCTGATTTCCGGGTTTGAAACGGCACATCACAGGTGAGGGGTGTTTATGTACACATGCATAGGAACGCTGCGGCTGGTGACGGGCTCAGGGAAGGAACGGGAATCAAGTACAGTGGATAGGCACTTCATTTTCCATTAATTATCCGAAACACAAGTTCGAGACACTTTAATCTCACGTACAGGAAGATGGTTACGGAAATGAATGGGATTTAACACCCCCCATATTGAATCCCTTCTGGAATCTGTTTCTCATCTTCTAATTTGAATTCTCTGCCAATCAAAAAGAGCTCGGTCTCCGACAGGAATAAGGCTTTCTGTTTTCTACGTGGCTCTGATGGGAAATCTATTTTGGCCTTTTTGAAAGAGCGCTGAAAATAGAAATGGAAATAATTTAATAAATTAATCATTGTACCCTGGAAGTATATAGTGGAGAAAAATTCACATGAAGCACCTATGGGGTGATTCATGTAATTGCGGACCGTTTGGTCAAAGTGCTTTTTTCCCCCCTTTAATATCTAATACATGTTTTCAGCTTGGCAAAAGTGACATGGAAGTGCTTTCAATGAAAGATGAAAGATGGTAACTCAACAGGTACAAATCAATGAATGAAAGAAAAATGGAAAACGGAAATGACAAAATAATTGCATTTAAAGACTGTTTAGCACTAAAACTGATCATTCAAATGTATGCCACGTGCTATATCATGAAACTAAATCTAAAAGAGCAAAATAAACTGACTGTTTTCTTAATGCACTTTCTGAGCTTTAAGGTTTAGAATTTTTGCAGTCAAAATCAAGCCATTTTAAAAGGGAATTTTGCATGTGGAAGAAAGATTTAGCCATGAAGATTTCGCAACAGGTTAAAGGTAATCGTACACTTTTGCCACGTTGACCACCGGAAATATGTTTGGTTTGAAAGTGAGTTGCACTTCATGCATTGCTACACTACTGACAATAGACAATGGGCCAATTTTTGCATGCAAAATTTTGCTACTGTGACTGCAACTTTATTGTGCATGATTCATCTGCATGTTATTCAAAAAAAAAAAAAAAAAAACTCTTAATAATCTTCAATCAAAAGCCTCTGAAACGAATTTCAGAGGTGGCAACCAACAATAACTCCTTAGAAACTTTTGCACAAGGAAATCACTCACGTTCCATTGGAAAAACAAAACATGAAAAAAACTAGTTGCAATTCCATTTGGTGTCGCATGTGGCACATAAATTACACACTTCACCCTTAAGGATATGCAAATGATTCATCAGAAACACACAGATGTGTTACCTTGAGCTGAAGCCAGAACTGCGAGACAATCTGTCTCACTTCTAATAGCGGTGCAATTGTGTGAATCCACTCAAGAACCGAAGAGTGTGGCAATCTGATTGAAGAGCTCTCGGGAATATTACCGAACACTCTTTAGGTCAAACAAAGAGCTTGCCATGTATGACGCATTACAGTGTCTTATACAATTTTAAACTCCAAATTGATCTGACTCGGCTTTAATCAACAGCATTTAAGTGAAACCTTAGGGTGAGGTGAAAATTCATTTTCAGGTTTTTAACTGTAAGATATAAACCTTTCAAGACAGACTTTTCATTTCAGCCTATTATTATTTAACACCTTTTTCTCAAATTACCAGTGGAGAAAATGAATGAGAAAAATACATGTCCAAAATTGGGGAAAAAATGTACAGTCACTGTTGTGCTCTGTGGTAAAAATGAGTATCAAGTACAATATACAAAATAGTGTTAGTGTTGTGGATCCAATACAGGGGATGACGCGAAGAAAAGATGTGAGCTTATATCTTACATGTTCACCATCTGACTCAATAACAATAGAAAAGAAAACATGTGGGCTTGAACATTTTGCCATGCAACTGCTCCCATTGGAAAACATCTACAAACACATCTACTATAAACATGCCAAAACTCTGTGCACATATTTAATAGAAGAATAATCATCTGAACACTTTCTGAACATAAACGCTGTATGAAAAAAAAACTCCATATTTCCTGGGGGATATCCCACATCTTATTTAACAATTTTATACTTTACTAAACGATACCCACAATGCACCATAAACTGTTGCAAGTCAACAACGTGTTAAAGTGCACACATACGAAAATGCAATATGTTCCCTAACCTGAGATTTAAGCTAAAATGGCACTAGTGGGCACCGTTAATGTCCTTTAGAAACGTCAACACATACATTGTTGTTCTGAAGAAACTTCTTTGTAAGCATTGTGTATGTTAGCATAGCCTCGGTATAACAGTTTAACCTGTGCAACTTTTGGTTACTAGTATATCCCTTGCAAAAACAGTACCATGGTAAATATTTTGATATACACAGTATCATGGTACTTCAAAGAATACTATGATATATTCAGGTTACATGTCCAAAACTTTGGGCCATGTGAAAAAATAAGGGTATAGACTGCCATGCAAATATGGTACTTTATGGTATCAGCATGGTACTTGTCCAAAAGCAAGGTATTTCCACAGTACATGCCCAAAAAACGATGATATTACCATGGTAAAGCAAAGGTATTAGATCAGGTATCGTAATACTACAATACTCTGACATATACTATGGTACTGCATGGTTACCATTTTCATATAAATCACCGTGGTAAATGTCAAAACTATGGTACATGCCCAAGAACCCATGCCAATCCAAGTAACTGCAAAAAATGTCATAGCATTGTCACAAGCATGTCCAAAAAAACATGGTAATACCATGGTAATTTTTGGCACATTTGTTTCCAGTAGTATTTTGAACTCTTTCTCCAAACTGCGTAATATTTAGTCAACATTATAGGGAATAGGGAGCGATTTCAGATGCAGCTACACAGAAGCAGATTTAAAAGAGCCTTCTATTTACAGAAATCACATTGTCTTGACATTCATGATGATGTCATATGCTCTGTCCAATCATGAATCACTCCCTATCTAAAAAGTTCAGTGTCACTCAAAGTGAGCAGCTTGTCACTCAATAAGGCTGAAGGGTGTTTTTAACTTCACAGATTCAGCGTTCAAAAAGAAAAAAAAACAAACATCAAAAGTCCAGTTTTACAGTGAGATTGAGAGAAATGTCACAGTCTCAAGAGCGGAATTAAAGAGGCATAAGGCAAAACACTGTTATTATAGCAATATGGGGGACAAATATATATTTGTCATTCTCGTCATTTTAAGGCTCAAACGGCTGATGAAGCATGCATTTGCATCTGGCCTTAAGTGACTTCAAAGCGTCAGTCTACAATAATGTGCTTTTGTTGTCAAGATATGCCATGTGGATGGGGAGCTGTTTTATCTATCTGTGTCTCCAACAGTGAGACCCAGCAGGGTCTGGAATCAAGAAGACACTGGTCTCAACAAACACAAACCCTGGGAACTCACATGTATACAATCGAAGCATGCCTGTACACTCATGAACCAAATTTACAGAATATCTCACACATACAGTACTGTACATCCATTCACTCTCACTGCTGGTAAACATGTTGGGAAGCTGCACACAGTTAGTTGGAGAGTTCTGCAACCAAAGGGACCAAATCACTTTGAGGACTCAAAGCTGGGATATTTCCTTGTCTGGTTCTGTTAGGTGGAGACCGCATTGGTGTGTCTGGAGGACAACATCTGACCTCTAGATCCCAGAAAGTAACTCTTTCAGGGGTACCTCCCTCTCTCCCAATAAGGTATTTCTCTTTAGACTGGTGCCTTTGTTGACTACCTTCATCTTGATGGCGAGGTTTTTCACCTGCACAACCGGAAGGGAGTCAAAGTAGAAGTCCTCGTTGAAGACAGGGTTGCGGCTGTTCTTGATAATGGTGCTCCGCTGTTTCTGGAGCTTTCCCGGGTTCAGGTACAGAGCCACGCAACAGTTGATGCTCTTCGCATCGTACTGCTTATCGTAGAGAGCCTCGGCCGCCAGCACGCGGACGTGAAGCCTGGAGGCGTCGATGTCGTAGTCTGTGCAGATGCGTAGAGTTCCTCCCTTGTGGAGGTTGATGGTGTGCTGCGTGAAGCGATCCATGTTGCCTCCGTGTTTCCGTCCTCGGAATGCCGGAGAAGGAGGGCAACGGAGGCGCCTCTGAATGTTCGGGCTGGTCTCCACAGAGCTGCACTCATCTGTGGAGAGAGAGCTGTGCCGGCCGAAGGAGCGCTTGGCCCGGGACACTTTGGCTTTGGTTTCGTGGGTGAACATCTTGAGGAGGGATGCGGAACGGGACAACAGAGGGGAGTTGAACGGGGAGGACTCGGCCGAGGAGCAAGTGTCGCTCTCCCCTCCGCTGAAGTACCGGTAGGGGTTGGAATGGGAGGTGTTACAGTCACTGGGGTTTAAGTGGTTGCCCTGCGACTTGCGTTGGGTGTTGGGCGAGGTGAGCGGACTTGTGGGGTCGCTATGGAAGAGGGACTCTTTACGTCTCGTGTGAGGACTTTCCATGAGCGTAGCGAAACCGTAGGAGGTTTGCGCTTTGGGTACATAGGGCAAGGACATGGCCGTCTGGGACTGGGGGTCAGCGTTTGTGTTGAGGTCGCCCACTTCCCCGACCACCAAGTCATCTGCGCTCTCAACCTGGATGATGTGGCGGTTTGCAGCTTTGAGCAAGTTCTTGGTGTCTCCAGCCAGCTTGTTAATGAGGCGCGGGCTGCGCGGACTGCCCTGTGGCATCTTGCAGCATATGGTCTGCTCGGACGTGGAAGAATGGAGCCCGTTTTTTGGCTTCATTTCGGGCGTCTCCTCTTCTGGGGGGCAGCACACCAATTTGGGCGGAATAAAGAAATCGGGAATCTTGTCAGGGGTGAGGACGTTGCTGTAGGTTGGGGCTTTGCTGTGTTTGTCAGCCGAGTCTCCCTGCCGGAGAACATTTCCCTCCACTGAACCGCGGATCTTTTCCAGCAGCCACATCTCTCGGCGGGGTCTGGGAGAGATGTGCAATTGCACCCTATAGGCACAGAGAGCGAGACGAAATATCATCAACCCACGCTGACACCTGCGATTCATGAATGCAAATACAAACTGAATTCCGTCCACCTCCTTGCTACTTTGGGTACACTGTCACCCAATGGATTCTTGGGAGATTCTGACACTATGTTAACACATTGCTAACACTAAAAAGCAATAGTTAAAGACAGCTGACACCTGTCTGCTTTTCCGTTATCAATTGTACACGGTCACCTCGTGGCTCAACATACACTCAGCATCACGCTTTCATTACACATTCAATCCGCAAAGCTTATTTACATAAGAAATATATGCAGAATGTACACAGATGGTTTCAAAAAGCCAATGAACACTATGTGTGCATTTTATTAACTGTAAGTACAGGTACTCTGTATAAAAACGAATCTTAATGAGCTATTTCTCCCTTTTCTCATCTTAAAATAGATTTTTTTCTTCTGAAATTCAAATTAATTCAGGCATATTAAATTTTATTTTTGACTTCAATAAAACCTAGTAGGTTTAGACGTTATTGCATTAAGCACTACCTAAATATTTCTATATTGATTTTTGTTGTATTTCCAGTATCACAATATCCTACCACACATTTGAGTATACAGTTTTTACTTTCTATTACCAGGATTTTCAAGCAGAGGTCTGTGGAAATCCTGGGGGTCTGTGAAGGTACTGAATTGGGTTTACAATGAGGTTATATTAAAGAGACTGAGAGATTTAATGACGTTTCTGCACTGTAAAAAATGAATCTGTGCGATATGCAAAAAGTAAACTTGAAAATAGTCCGTAAATGAGCACATATTGACTAGGTTAAAGGAACAGTTCATAAAAGAAAGAACATTTTCTGGAAACGTAGGCTACTTACCTGCAGGCCATCCAAGATGCAGATGAGTTTTAAAATTTGGAGAAATTTAGCATTACATCACTTGCTCACCAAGTGGATCCTCTGCAGTGAATGGGTGCCGTCAGAATGAGAGTCCAAACAGCTGATAAAAACATCACAATAATCCACAAGCAATCCACACCACTCCAGTCAATCAATTAATGTCTTGTGAAGCCAAAAGCTGCTTGTTTGTAAGAAAGAAATCCATCAAGCCTTTTTTTTTTTACTTCAAACCATTGCTTTCAGCTAAAATATGAGTCCTTAAGCGCCCATAATATTGCTTTCTCCAGCTGTTAAAAATTCGCCTCGTGTGAATTAGGAGTGATATGCACAGATCAAGCACCGTTTACAAGTCCAAAACATTACTAAATCAGGAGCACAGGCATTACATACTTCACATAGTATGCATACAGCAGAAAATAGCATGATTGAATCAATCAGAAATGGGCAGTGTGCCATTTCTCATGCAGGAAAACCGCATCTCTCTGTCAGGGAAATCATGATGCATGGATAACTGTGAGCGGGCTGCAACAGGCACCGTTCAAAGCGCCTCATCAATTAAACCTTTTTTGTCTATTATTCACAACTGGTGGAATATTATAGCTGGCCAGTGAGAGAGAAGCGTTTTGAATGAAATAGTGCTCTGAGATGATGTATAATTGTGTTTGATTTACTGCTCTCTGATCTGCTGTTTCCCTGGAAACTTGGAGAGAGGACTATGGAAACGCACACCCATATTGTTCGTGCAAAAGCAGAAAACTTTTCCAAAAGTCAGCTAATTGGAGAAAACGCATGCTAAAGTCACAGCAGACATACAATATTTTCCCCAGATTTAAATATAGCTGTAGAGTTTCAGATCTGTGCATGTAAAAGTATGGCTAGGTCACATGTCAAGAAAGAAACAATGAAACATTATGACATCTTTTAAATCCTGAATTATTTATATAATTACATATTTGCTCAGTTAAAGGAATAGTTCACAAAAGAAAGAAAATTTTCTGCAAACGTACTTACATTCAAGCTATCCAAGATGAAGATGAGTTTTAAGATTTGGAGAAATGTAGCATCACATCACTTACTCACCAAGTGGATACTCTGCAGTGAATGGGTGCCGTCAGAATGAGAGTCCAAACAGCTGATAAAAACATCACAATAATCCACAAGCAATCCACACCACTCCAGCTGCATGTCTGTGATAAACAAATTCATCAAGACAATTTTAAAGTTGAAACTGTCGCTTCCAGTTAAAATGCGTGTCCTCTATCCATAATATTGCTTTCTCCAGTCATATGGTCTGAATCAGGAGAGAAATACACACAAATCAAGCACTGTTTACAAGCTAAAACAGTCCAAAACAGTTCTAAACAAAGCTATGGGTGGATATCGATGTGAGAGGACAACAGGAGATGGACTTTACACAGGAGGAAGTATGGATTATGGAATCGTATTTTGGCCAGAAATGACTATTTAAAGTTAAAACACCGTAATGATGAATTTGTTTCTAACAAACACAAAGCTTTTTGCTTCATAAGATGTTAACTGATGAACTGGAGTGGATTATTGTGATGTTTTTATCAGCTGTTTAGACTCTCATTCTGACGGCACCCATTCACTGCAGAGCATCCATTGGTGAGCAAGTGATGTAAAGCTGAATTTCTATAAATCTGTTCTGATGAAGAAACAAACACACCTACATCTTGGATGGCCTGAGGGTGAGTACATTTTCATTTCTGGGTGAACTATTCCTTTAACTATTCATCTAAAATCACTACAAAACAACCAAAACAGCAGAAAATGAAATTCAGAACCATGTGAGTAATTAATACATGCATCTATTTAAATGATCTTGAGTAGAGAAATGTGTCGTTCGCCTTTTTAACGCAAAACACAAATTGTGTTCAACACCACATCCCCAGGTATGCTGTTTTATTAGCCTCTCTCCATCTCTCTCTCCGTCTGTTTCTCATCTGCTGTCTGGGCTTAACATTAAAATGCAATTAACTAATTGCCTGGAGAGGTGAAGAGCATTATGGCTATGAAAGTACAGCGATGATCACATTCACTCTTATTTCCCAGGATGCATCATGGGCTGAGCTACTGTCACGCAAGTATGCTTTCATTTCTATTCCATCATCTAAAAAGTCTTCATCATGTGCATACAAATGCACAGACGAGCTTGCAAAAGCCGGTTGGTGGCTTTGCCCACAGTATCTCTCTATGAAACAATGAGGGGGTTTAGATATTAATTATAGCCTGTACTTTTATCTGCAAAAAGTATTATGCACATCTGAGGTAATCATCCACATAACAAAAACTGGTGTCCAACTGCGGCCCATTCTGCGCTGATGATAGTGTTTACAGATCTAAAGTCTATCATCACAGAGAGGGTAATGGCTTCAGACCAATTCAGAAATATCCAAATATGGACACATTGTTATGTTTTTACACTTTATTTGTGGCATCAAGAGTTAAGTTTTTTTTTTTTTTTTTTCTAAACAATTGTTTGTTGTTAATGTCAGTTGATAGTGCATTATCTAATGTTAACACATAGAACTTTAGATTTTAAAAATGTGTTTGTAAAAGGGTAAAATTAAGATGACTAAGATTAATAAATGCTGTAGAAGTACTGTTCATTGTTAGTTCATCCAAACTAACGTTAACAAATTAAATCTTATTAAGTTTAAAGTAAATCAATGCTTTTTTGAGAAGTCTATGCATAAAAATTAAATTAGAATCTAAAGCCAGTTTTCTCTGCCATCTCCAGGTTGGACAAAATCTGTTCTAATATTTATTGATTATAAATCTGAATCTATTATAATCTTTAAAAATGATCTAAAGGCCTACGATTAAATGCTTGAATTTTGTTTTGTGGACAAGTAAACATTTGCATTTATATATATATATATATATATATATATTATATATAATTCAAGAATATACAGAATTCTAATTCTAGAATCACAAAAATAGCTGTGCTTAACTCCCAGTTTCTATAAATAAAAAAGCTCAAAAACAAGCTGCTTTATCAAACTTTTAACATAACAGGAAACATTAAAGCTTCAAATTCAGTGTCGTTTAAGACAAAAACGCTGACCACTGATTTACAGGAGGCATCACGGGAACTTGCTCTCCTCATTTGGGAAACTTTATTTTAACAAGAGCAGGAGCCACCAAACGTGTTTGAGAAAATGTCACGGTATGATATTTTAACAAGCAGCGTAAACAACAGGTCTAATGATCTCTGTTCATTTTGATTTCTTACAATATTTCTTACAATATAGTTTTAATGTACCATTGATGAAAAAGTGAAAGTGAAAGTGACATGACATGTGGCCAAGTATAGTGACCCATACTCGGAATTAGTGCTCTGCATTTAACCCATCCAAAGTGCACAGCAGCACAGCAGTGAACACACACACACCGTGAACACACACCCGGAGCAGTGGGCAACCATTTTTTGCTGCGGCGCCCGGGGAGCAGTTGGGGGTTCGGTGCCTTGCTCAAGGGCACCTCAGTCATGGTATTGAAGGCGGGAGAGAGCGCTGTACATTCACTCCCCCACCTACAATCCCTGCCGGTACAAGACTCGAACCCGCAACTTTGGGGCCAATCTCTAACCATTAGGCCACGACTTCCCCTTGAAATAAATGCAGCCTTGATGAGCTTCTTTCAAAACCCCAGATTTTGAATAGTAGTGTATATACATACATACATACATAGTCTATGTCTGCAAAACTAGCTTCAAAGGTTTTAGGATACTGCAAAATATCAGTTCAGTCAAGTGTGTCCAAACTGTTACTGTATCTCAGCAGTAGTCTTTCCAGAGCAAAATATCTGATTCGGTTAAGTGTTTTTTTTTCTTTTTTTCTGTGTGGTGGTTGGAACTGGTACCATTTGAACATTTTAATAGTGCTGTTGATGCTTGTTAAAAACAACATGAAGCAGCATTTGCAACACATTCATCTTAACCAGTCAGTCAAAAGTTTGGACACACTTGACTGAACTGATATTTTGCAGTATCCTAAAACCTTTGAAGCTAGTTTTGCAGACATAGACTATGTATGTATGTATATACACTACTATTCAAAATCTGGGGTTTTGAAAGAAGCTCATCAAGGCTGCATTTATTTCAAGGGGAAGTCGTGGCCTAATGGTTAGAGATTGGCCCCAAAGTTGCGGGTTCGAGTCTTGTACCGGCAGGGATTGTAGGTGGGGGAGTGAATGTACAGCGCTCTCTCCCGCCTTCAATACCATGACTGAGGTGCCCTTGAGCAAGGCACCGAACCCCCAACTGCTCCCCGGGCGCCGCAGCAAAAAATGGTTGCCCACTGCTCCGGGTGTGTGTTCACGGTGTGTGTGTGTGTTCACTGTTGTTTGTTTTTTCTGTGTGGTGGTTGGAACTGGTACCATTTGAACATTTTAATAGTGCTGTTGATGCTTGTTAAAAACAACATGAAGCAGCATTTGCAACACATTCATCTTAACCAGTCAGTCAAAAGTTTGGACACACTTGACTGAACTGATATTTTGCAGTATCCTAAAACCTTTGAAGCTAGTTTTGCAGACATAGACTATGTATGTATGTATATACACTACTATTCAAAATCTGGGGTTTTGAAAGAAGCTCATCAAGGCTGCATTATTTCATCAATAGTACATTAAAACTGATAATATTGTAAGAAATTAAAATTTTAAATAACTGTTTTGTATTACCAGTTCCAACCACCACACAGAAAAAACAAACAAACAAAAAAAAACACTTAACCGAATCAGATATTTTGCTCTGGAAAGACTCCTGCTGAGATACAGTAACAGTGTCGAAAAGTTTAGACCCGTAGTTCGCTTGAAGAAGAAAATAATTGGACAGCTATAGCTGCCTATGTGCTAAATTGCTCCTTTGGGATTTATAAAACCCATCGTACTGTAACCTTTAGATATGACCACCGCACTAAATACTGTGATTTTTATCTTCCAAAACTATTACATCTTCAGCACTGTCCAAATCTGTAGGAATACTCATACAGTAAATCAAAACAATTAAATACGAAGAACATGTGCAATAATATTTGAAGCAAACATTTGCATACTGCATTTGTAGTTTATTGATGACTTCCGGTACAAAATGTGTTTGATACCATTGTCACATCACATAAGGGAAACATTAACTTAACTAAGAAAAGGTAAATTTAAAAATACAAATATAAAGTTATTTACAAAATGTTTAACTGAAAATGACCATTATCACCAGCTCTCGTCTAGCTCTGTTATGATTCAGACTGAATTTGCTAGGTTAAGGCATCCATGTGAATTCACACTTAGAAAGGAGATATAATTAGATAGATATATTAAATGTTAAATTACATGTGACACTTTGTCAATAATGACTGTGATGATTTATGAACAAAAAACATAACTGTTAGAGGAGAACCAGCGCTGCATGTGATTGATACAAGTGTGATTTTGCCAGCTGTGACTGACAGAAAAGATCATTCTGATTACTAAATTGAAAAACTACTGTACAGGACAGGCAATCAATCCACTCACGACCACACCAAGGTAGGCTGGTTATGTAAGAGCGCACAATTATCCTGCTTTTAGCCTTAAAGGTGAAGTGTGTAATTTCCGAAGCACAAGTGTCACCAAATGGAATTGCAAAAATAAAGACCCAACCATCGGCACGATCCCCGTGTGCGACAGGTCAGTCGAACTGATACCTGTAACTCACACCACTGGCTGACAGAAAGTGCCACAGAATCAGTGTTTAAACTTTTTAGGGAAATTAACATAGTAATGGTTTGTTTTACTTGCAAACTATCTGATCAGATAACAAGTGTACCTGTTTTAACAGATGAACAGATTTTTCTCAGTTCCAAATTGAAAAAAACAAAAACAACCTCAGACATTTTAGTGGGAAAAATATGAACAGTTGAGACATTTTAACACTGACAGCAACAGGTAAGCAGAGGTTTGCAGAAGAACTAACAAAACGTGTTTACTTTAAAGCCAATTGTGCCCCCTGGTGGCTGATTTCCTCATTTTTTCATTTAATAAAGGTACACATTCTACGTTGATGTTTTACATTTTAACCAATAACCACAGTTTTGACCATTATTTTTAGGATGAATAAATTGACAACACTTTATTTTACAGTGTCCGTATAATGAATTATTAAAATAAAAACAATTACTATGTGCAATTACACACAGCTTTACAAAAATGACATATTAAACACACGGTTTATTAGTATGAAGCAGTAGTGGTATGTAAATACATAATACAATGAACACTGTAATATAAAGTGTGACCAACACATTTGCGAATGTCTATCTTTCATCTAGGCTTCATCAGATCCTATGTCATCGTAAGCGGTCAAATAAAGCCAGATTAGAAATAACCTATTAAAACTATTGTTTTTATGTATCAAAACGGCAATGCCAAACATCAAAATGGCATTTTCTAAGGCACTTATTCTTGTGTAAACTTTGTGCTAACTACTAGCATTTCTATTGGTCACAATACTGCATTTAAAAAGACTTGATAAGAAAATTATTCCATGTTGAGATAACTCATGTCTCAAAAGTTGCTCAGCATCAATGCAATATTCAGAAAACATTCTGACTTGGTACAAAATGGTTCAGAGGCAGAATTGCTGTTTCCTACTGCAATATGTATGTCTATCAGTCATGTGACCGTATCCACATCAGGTTGATTTGTGTGTATTGTGATCCTCATCTATGTATCGCATGGGCCAAATACCACATGTTGTAGGGTGTTTGTAGTGACTTGCGGATGGATGTCTAACAGCAGCGTTTGCTGGAGGGAGGAGGCTGTCGTGTCAGTTTAAAGGACTCGTGGCTGTCAGCGTCTGTGTTCTCCAGCGGAGGGATCTGTCGACCTACACAGATGGGAGAACATGAACAATTATGTCACCACTAGTTCAAAAACACAGTGTTCATGTCATTGCATTAGAAAAATGCAGTGAAATACAAGTGTGTTTATGTAATTAAGTGCAATCTTTCACAATAAACTGACATCAAATGTGATAGAGGTGATGATGACTAATGCTCAATACAAGATAAAGATAGCTCTGAGTCGTTATCACTGACTACTGGAATAAAATATTTTAACTTAGCACAAATTTAATATTGTGCAAAGATCATGCATATCATGCACATATGACAGGTCTAGATATATTATCTACAATATCACTTACAGTTAGACTAATAAACTACTAATGGAAGGATTATATCTATATTAATAATAAATGTACACTACCGTGCAAAACATTGGGGTCAGTAATAGTTCTTATTAATTTTTTTTTTCAGTATTCTTTAATGAACAAAAAAGTATAAAAGAACAACATTTATTTGAAATATAAGTCTTTTGTAACATTATAATGTCTTTACTGTCATGTTTGATCAAATTAATGGGTTCTTGCTGATTAAAAAATAAAAATGTAAAAATGTATGTAATAAAAAAAAAAAAATCTTGCTATGGTAGTGTAGTTATTGAACATAGTGTGTTTTGTATGTAAAATGTATGTCTTGCAATTCCTTTTTTTTTATAGCAATTTTGACTTTTTTTCTCTGAATTCTGCTTAAAAACCAGGGAAAAAATATGTAAACTTAATTTGCAAGAAATAAACCTCCATACTGACTTGAGAACGCTTTGTAAAATAGCTGGAAAATGACAGAATGAGGGAGAAGATGCGACAGTAACAAATCACTATACGCTGTAGTGTTCGGGTTTGCTGCTGTGGGCCAGGTGTAGCGTGGAGACTTGACTAGTCTTAGTGATACTTACTGATTTTCTGAAACAGCTCCTCTATGTTTACTGCATTTCTGGCACTGGTCTCCATAAATATGGCTGCAATGGACTCTGCAAAATCTTTTGCCTCTTTAGTTGGAACTTCCCTAGAATAAAAAAAAAAACCCACTGAATATTAGTAAACAATCAGCTCACTCACAGAAATCATCGAGTGTTTGCTTAGCCTGAAGAACGTGTTCAACTGAGGACATGAGCGACACAAACATCAGAGGGGACTGTGGTAAACGAGCACTGGACTGCCTGCAAATGTCAAATAATTATACAGACGCAACAGCAGACAGTTGGGAAAATTACGAGGGTAAAGTGATTGAAAAAGTCTAAATGGAAAAAGCTTAATTAACAGTGACATGGTCTCAGCAAAACTATCATTGAAGGTGCAGTTTGCTGCCATTGAGATGTGTCTCAGAACTGAAAAAGCTCAAATTAAACTCTAATAATCACAACTAAAGTGAAACAGCATTCGCAGGCCATCTTTAACCACCACAATGTAAAAGCAGGACATGTGTTTATACTTTAGGAATTGACTGGATAGCAAGTTATTACGTTTTATTTATGAAGTTGTGAACATTAGTTATGAACATCTTGATGAATTTGATCTGCTCTTAATGTGCAATTTTGATTTCATGTAAAATGATCACATAAGACGTAAGAAATATGAAAATATAAGCTGAGCGGCTGCAGGTTTAGGAAAGAAACTTTAGAGAGTATAATACATTTTCAGAAAGAGGAAGAGGGTTTAAACCTGATATCACCCAGATCGGTTTTATTTCCTGCAATAGCCACGACTATATGCTCCGGCCCGTGTTCCTTCAGCTCCTTCACCCACTTCTTTAACGTCTGGAAAGAGTCCTGCAGAAACCAGACACATCACAATACACATACATTTCATTTAAGTATCAACTTTGTCTCAGGTGCTTCTGAAATTCCACAGGAGATCAAATGAAATAGACGACAATGAATCAGTAATTGTCATCCAGTAAGAGTGTAGAGCTATAAAATTGAGGATACCAGTTATAAAACGTGGATAGCAGCTCAGATCATTTGATCTTGGATGAATTTGAAGAGAAATATTCATACTGACATCTCTGACTTTTGTTTTGAAAATTTTGAGCACAGTTTGAGACATTGATGTGAAATCAGTTTAATCTCCATTCAATCTCATTGCTTTCTGAGAAACAACTGATATATAGGCAGGATCTCATTTGTGATTTTTCTTTCAAAACTTCTTAATTTCTCCCACGATTATAAACAAATACACACAAAACGACACATTTCAGTGTACTACACCTTAAACACAGTTAAATGTGCGTTTTAAATAGAAGCAACTTGAAAATGAATTGCACAAACATACTATACAACTTACAAGCTTTGTGATGTCGTAAACAACGACGGCCGCTGCAGAGCCCCTGTAATACATGGGAGCCAACGAATGAAACTGCAGAAAAATAACATTTTGTCAATGTTGGGAGCTTTTAAAGATTAAGATGTTCATTTTGATGATTATATTTTAAATAAGGCAAGCATCTCTATTACTTTTGCTCTTACATGGGGTTAGAGACTTCTATCAAGTTTTGCAGAGGAAAACACCACTAACAATTTCTTTAAGGGGTCATCGGACGCCCATTTTCCACAAGATGATATGATTCTTTAGGGTCTTAATGAAAAGTCTGTAACATAGTTTGGTTAAAATTTCTCAATGGTAGTGTAAAAAAACACCTTTTTTACCCTGTCAAAAACAGCTCTTTTCAGAGCAAGCCGTTTTGTAGCATTTTCCTTTAAATGTTAATGAGCTCTGCTGACTCCGCCCCTCTCTTCCGAGCCGCTCTCTGAGGGACTGTTTACTTTAGCCGCATTCATCGTGAAACTTGCTAATTAGCACATTGTTAGGAAAGGCGATTTGCAAAGATTCATTAAAAAACCTTATACTCACTACTTGGAGGTTAAGCTGGATCACCAATGATTTGCGCGAACATAGACGCATTTAGGTAGATCGGGGGCGCATTCCCTTCAAAAACAAACGTGATTCACTGCGTCTTCAGCGGCTCAGATGTCGGGAGTAAATGACGACTGCTATGTTCATTATTACATCCAACAACAAAACACCTCAATCGCTT